CCCTTACTTGTTGAGCCCGTGCAGTGTCTCGCAGTCTTTTTTTTTTTTTAATTTTCTTCCCTCCGCCTTTCGTTCGTTCACTCCGTGTCCCCTCCTTCGTAACGACCTCGTCGTTCGCTCCCCAATGGCGCACCCAGTGCGCCTCCTCTCAGAAGCACACTCGCTGCCGCATTTGCCGCAAACAATTTTCGGCATTCACATTATAACCGGTCTTTCATCTTGGGGGACTGCACAATTAGCTGTACAGTCGACGACCGATCTTTTGGACCCTCAAGGGACCGTGAAAATGTCCGAAAAATCGGGCAGTCTAAAAAAGCAAATGTGCTCCGAAAATGCTCATTTTATTGGTTACTATTGAGATGGAGGGTGGAAAAAGTGGTCGATCCTCTTCTGGACCATGCTTCGCTTCCGTGCAAGTTTGTCCGCCCGCATGTTGGCTAGAGTTGCCGTGTTGCTGTACGCTGACGAAAGGGTTGCGATCGCTTGCATCAGCTCGGCTCGCATCGGCTGTGCTGTTGCAGGTAAGTCGTCGTCGTCATCATCACTCTCAGACTTCGTTTGTAGACTTCGTTTGTCCATCGTTTGTAGGACACTTGTCGTGTTCATGTGACACGCAGCTGCTAGAATTCACAACTGACTTGCACTCTAACATTGACGCTAATCTTCAAACGGATTGTATTTTTTTAGATTTTGCCAAAGCATTTGACTGTGTGGCACACTCGCGTTTATTCTCGAAATTATCAGCTCTCTGTCTGGATTCTTTAACATTATCATGGCTTCGCAACTTTCTTTCTTTCCGTCAGCAGTTTACTTCAGCTAACAGTTTTACCTCATCTCTCTGTGACGTAACATCAGGTGTGCCCCAGGGCAGTGTCCTTGGTCCTTTACTGTTCCTAATATACATCAACGATTTACCCACAGGCATATCTTCTAACCTGCGTCTTTTCGCTGACGACTGCATCATTTACCGCTCAATTAAATCCACCGAAGATCACCTCGTACTTCAAAATGATCTCATATTAATTGCAAAGTGGTGTGACAAATGGCAGATGAGTCTTAACTCTACTAAATGCAAGGTTATCACTTTCAGCCGCAAGCGCATCAATTCCGATTTTTCATACCTCATAGATAGCACATTAGTATCCCAGGCATCATCGTATAAATATTTAGGCGTCCATCTCAAGCACAATCTTTCATGGGACATGCATATTAACACCATTACTGCCAAGGCATCCAGGTCACTTGGATACCTGCGCCGGAACTTGTGGAACTCACCAAGCAGTCTAAGACAACTCATCTATGAAACCATCGTTCGTCCGCAATTAGAATATGCTTCACCAGTGTGGTCTCCTCATCAAATCTACCTGACTAACAAGCTTGAGTCTGTACAAAACAGAGCCGCTCGTTTCATTACTTCCAACTACAGCCCACATTCCAGCATAACGCAGATCAAACATGACATACCGCTTGTGCCATTAATTGTACGTCCTTCCATTTCTCTTTTATCTTTATTCCATAAATATCGCTATAGCATCAGGCCATCTCCCTTACCACTGGAAGCGCCTTCACGCATATCACGCCGCTTGCATAATCAATATAGCATTAAACGCATCAGTGGACGAACTAACACTTTCAATTTATCAGCACTTCCCCGAGCCATTGTTCTATGGAATGATCTTCCCGACAGTAACGCATCTATCAGTAACCATCAAGCATTTCTTGACCAATTGCGTAAGCATTTCTTGAAATAGTATCATGTCGTCACCATTACTTTTTATTTCGCGAATTCTTCCGCCATTCTTTCCTTTGCGAGTGTGTGTGATTGGCGAAAAATTGTTTCATGGAATAAGAAATGCTGTTCCTCTGTTTGAAAATGCTTTGCACTGTACATATGTATGTGTGTGTATATATATACATATATATGTATATATATTTGTTTTTTTTGCTGTTTTTTGCCATGTGTAAAAAAAAGGAAAGGGAAAAGGGAAGGAAAACGAAAGGGAGGAGGGAAAAAAGTTCCTTAACTGCACTGTACCCTTTTTTTTTTTCCTTTTTTTCAATTTTGTTTCCCTGTATTTATTAGTGCATTTATCTCTGATATTTTTTGTTTCGTACTTGCTCCCCTTACTCAATGCCCTATCGGGCCCTGTAAGGTATCATGAATAAATAATAAATAAATAAATAAATGGTGCAAGCACTTGCCGAATGATTTCCTCATCCGTGAGGCCAGCGCACAGTTCCAAATCGTTGTCCACACACGCAAATTCGGAAAACGAGACATCTGATGGAATATTGACGCCCGTAGTGCGAAGGTCGTCGATAAGCTGCTCGCTTCCCAACACATGGTCGACGAAGCTGTCCTCGTCCAAGGCGGCCGACTCGCCATTCAACACAAATCCCACGTGGCGGAAACAGTTGCGCAGCGTTGTCGATGCCATCGACTTCCACGCATCGGCGAGCATGCTAAGTGCCCCAAGCAAATCGACCGAGTACGCTTTTCCGCTGTCGAGGCACACCACCGCACACGAAAGTAAGTGTGATCGATAGTTCACTTTGAGAGTGCGTATGACACCCTGGTCCATCGTTTGTAGGACACTTGTCGTGTTCGGTGGCAAGAACTCGATGCGCACAGCCTTCGAATGGGTAATGTGCCCGTGGGCAGCGCAGTTGTCGACAAACAACAATATTTTGCGGCCTTGTAAATCAAATTTGCGGTCCAGTCTTCTCACATAGCTTTCAAAAAGCTGATGAGTTACCCAGGTCTTTTTGTTGGCCTCGTACAAAACAGGCAGGGACTTTACGCCTTTGAAGCACCTCGGAGCTTTCGACTTGCCGATGACGAGCATCGGCAGTTTTTCTGTGCCCGACATGTTGCTACCGATCAGTACAGTAACTCGCTCCTTAGAGTGTTTGCCACCATGGTAAGGGTCGCCAGCAAAGGCAAGTGTCTTTTCTGGCATCATCTTGAAAAAAAGCCCGGTCTCGTCACAGTTGAAAGTATCATCTGGCGAGTACTCTTGTAAAAGGGACGGCAGCTTTTGAGAGCGGTAATTTGCAATGACGCTGAGGTCAACAGCGGCACTTTCGCTGCACAGTTTTTTAAAACTGAGATCAAAGTGCTTCTTGAAGTTTCTTAGCCAGCCATCACTGAACTTAAATCCTTCAATGCTCATTTGAAGCGCCATCGTCTCAGCTTTCTGTTTGAGGAGGCTCCCGGAGACGGGTACCTTGCTGACCACTATCAACTTCAGCCAAACGAGAAGGGCCTCCTCGAGCTTAGGGTAGGTGCCTTGGCTGGCATCCTTCTGATGACATCCAGTAGACTTTTCCGCTGCCTCCAAAATCTTCTGTTTATTTTTGATGTAGTTCAAAATAGTCTGTTTGGAAATATGGAACTCTTTCGCAACGTCTGCCCACAATCGGCCACTGTCAACGAGCTTGATTGATGGCAGCTTTTTTGGCCATCGACATGGTGACATACTTTCCGCGCTTCATCGGAGCTCTCGAGGCCGACGACATAGGCGATCCCTTATTCATTCTGAATCAGCGCTTGTAGCTAGGCAACACACATGGCACACGCAGAGGCGAACAGTCAGTCGATTCGGTCCTGTCCATCCAACGGTCACAGCACACAAGAAAGTGTCCGAAATTTCAAGCTGGAAAATACATTGAATTTATAGGGTATGTCCTGGTGCCAAGTAAATGTCCGAATTATCGAGCATGTTGGAAAGTCGGAAATATCGAACAGCCCGTCCTTAAGTGTCTGAAATTTCAAGCTGCAAAATACATTGAATTTATAGGGTATGTCTGAATTTATAGGGTATGTCCTGGTGCCAAGTAAATGTCCGAATTATCGAGCATGTTGGAAAGTCGGAAATATCGAACAGCCCGTCCTTAAGTGTCCGAAATTTCAAGCTGCAGAATACATTGAATTTATAGGGTATGTCCTGGTGCCGAGTAAATGTCTGAATTATCGAGCATATCCGAAAAATTAGGCGTCCGAAATATCGGTCGTCGACTGTATGCGTATACATGGGGTTCTATGAGAGGGTAAACGGGAGTAAAAAAAGACCGCATTGTAAGCCGTTCTGCGCTATAAGCGGTTACGTTATAAGTTGTCTACACTGTAATAGCATTCTCGGTAAAAAAAAGTAACGAGTGTGCACTTTTTGAGAAAGGAAATGCAAGCAGACCAGATGACAGTTATTGTTGTGGGGCAGAAAGACACCAGGTATCCCGTATTTTCTTTATAGTTTGTAATGTTCATGCTGCTAAGCATAGCAAATTCCGTTAACTTCTAATGCCTCAAGGGTCAATGCTATTTACGAGATGCCATGTCCGATTTCATCACTTACGTAATGCGTTCCCAGAACCTATTAGGCTATAAAATGCATACTCTCAATGGAATAGCTTGTTCAGTGCAGTATAGTACTTGGAAAAATATTTAAATAGTATCTGATTGTAATATATTATATATTTTATGCATAGCTTTGAACTACCAACAGGTTATTCCCAAGTTGAACCCTGCAAAATTCAGTTCAGCCTAGAAATGGCTTTGAATTGACTGGCGCCATTTTGCTTCTGGGCTCAAGATTCAGCATTCAGTGGCCGAAGTGATCATGTTCAGTTTTAGTGTTGTAGCAAGAAACTCAAAGGGTGCTTATTTCAGCTTTTCACTTATCTTGAATGGGGATAATACTGTGTACAATAAAAAAATACATGCTTAGTTTTCATTGATGCTTCAACATTGCTTTTTTAGTAAGCCACTATTGGCGATACCATCTCTCAAGTGTCAATAATTTTAGATGTGTAGCAGTTCTGCCGAACAAACTGTCATTAAAAAAAAATACAAGGCCTTAACTGCCGAATGTCACTTCTTGTAGGTATATGGGGTGTATGACAACTTAATTTGCTTCGTAACCTTGTAGGTTTTTTTATATGGACATATATGGTTTTTGCTTCTTTTCAGAGTCTGTGAATATGCCTTTTTTTCCTTGCAGATTTATGAGGGGACATCCCAGATCCAACGACTAATTATTGGCCGAGAGCTGCTGGGGAGGTACCACTGAGCGTGAGCCGACACGGACAACCTTTGTGATATAACCAGGCCCAGATTGTTTGGCAAATGTACTCTTAGACACGCGGGTCATATTTTATATCTATAGGATACCTCTGTTCCTGATTGGACCTTGGTCTGTTCACCAGCACACTTGTTTCTGATGAGCTGTGTTCCAGATTCCAGCAAATTAGGTGTGTTTTGGTGGAACTTTTAATATTTTATGACTTATTTCTTTGATGTAAAGGAATAAAAAGACGTGCCTCATATGTCGTTCAGAGAAACTTTATTTGACGTTCATGTGCTTCGCATGTCAAATACTAACAAGCAGTTTACAACACTCCTATGTACACAGTGAAGATAACATCAAATTGGAGGGTTCCTTAGCTCTCTGCTTTAGGCAAGCATTAACCCAACACTAAAATGTTTGTAAAAAAGACTTAAAACAAAAAATTTTTGAGCATGGTCAGAAAACACTGCCGATCGGTAGTACAGGCTCCCGACAACACACAAGCCAAATATTATAGCGCAACATGCGGTCAGGAATTCACACTAAGTTATCAAAGTCGGCTAAAAATTGCTTTCTCTTCTCTCGACAAATGACATAAGATACTCGAAAATTGCATGTAGCAAGCACATCTATCAGTGATTGGCCGAATTGAACATGGCACGCTCAGTCGTTACAGAGATCGTCGCGAGAGGCCGCGACTTGTCCGCATGTGCTCGCGCAATCACATGTAAAAGCTGCGCATTCAAAGAAAAAAAAAGTCCTCAGGGTCACGATGCGCACGTGACGTACTTCTTTGCCTCTTTCATCCCCCTGCTTAGCGTCCAGCGCTTTTGTTGGGACGAGAGGAGAGAGAATGGGTTGGCAGCGTGCGACAAATCTTCGCAACTCTGCTTGTACAAGACGGATTCTTAAAATTTTTGCGATGTTAAATTCGTGAGGCAATGAGCTCTTCCAGTTAATTCATTTCATGGTTACTTGAAGAATTGTTTCAGGGCCCCTTTAAACATGTGGTCACCGTAGTGCTGTTGCGGTTTCTGATGTAAGCAGTGTGCCAGATTAAATGCAGCTTGAGATGCTACAATAATAGGCCGAACTTATCAGCTCAGTTTTTGATGTGTCTCATCAAAAAGTGGAGTGTTGCTGAAGCAGAGCTTTAATTTTGACACTTCTTGTTCCCGCCCGTTCATGGCAGTTAAATGTGCTCAATTATCTAACCTCTAAGGTGAAATATTACTGCCTCGCATCATGTTGCCGTATGGCACCTGGCAAGTTTGTGCTGCATCAAGGTGAAACTTCCTTATGCAGTTCGTGCATGCGAGCAATTGATTCTCGAAAGGTTAGGTGGCAGTACACTTTTTATTTTCTGTGAAAGGGTGGTCAGCAAAGCCATTCAATTTAAGCAGACAGGCTTGTGCGATGATGGTAGTGATATCAGGTGGACTAGAAGGTACCAATTTAAAGGGCAACTCGCCAGGCTTCAAAACAAAAATTCTAGTTAGGCGCTGGCAGTTGTGTGTTTGAAGATGAGCATTACGCCACCAGAACTTTTCAATCGGTTCATTACGAGCTGAGAAAACCAGTATTTTGAAGCGGCGCGAAACAATTGGAGGAGGCAAGCTCGAAACGCTTGCCGCTCGCCTCGCGCGTCTTTCGCAAGCCAAATCTTTTCCCTATCTTCTCCGGCCTCCGAGCAAACAGTCACGTGCGCATGACGTCTTCGAGCAAGCCTGATTCCTGAGCACACAAGCGGTGTTTTGTTGGCCAGAGATATTTTGCAGTTTACTGCCTGTTTCTGCGGGATGGATACCTCGGTGCGTGCTCATTTGGAAACGCTGTCTTAGATGTTGTACAATAGATGAGCATATTGAATGTTCAGGGCCATTAGTTTCGTTTTCAGGGCTGGGGTCTGCTCGTTGTGCTTACAGCAGAGACTCGAATGCATGCGAAAGGCAAGCACATTAGCCTTGGATCTCGTTCCTAGTCCCAAGAAAAAAAGAATGAAAAAGATGTGTACATACCATTTTGGTTTCTCATTATTTATCTCAAGTTCTTTCCAATCAATTCAAGTAACAAATTACACAAACTACACATGCTTGAAATAATTTTCACCCTGTTACGTGCTGTTGTTGGTGACGTCTGAGCACAGTCGGCTACGTAGGTCAATTCCTACGTCTACGTCATGCCCTCATACTCTGAGCGCGCGCCCGCAAAAGAAAGGGCAAGCAGTGTCATCTTGAATCTGACCCATTTACGCAGCACATAGTGTTGCAAGTTTGGGCAGATGATCGTGAATGCACCTGTATGCATTGCACTCGTTAGCTCAAAATGTAACGTTAAGCCTAGGGCCCTGGTCTAGCGTGCCAGTGCAATTTGAGTAGCATGGATGTGATTTTGAGTGGGGAGCGTTATTTTCCGTTGGAAGCCAGCACGGCCTACCTGAATGAGGCTGGCCTGTGCACGATTTCCTGCGCCTGATTCTATACAGCATCTGTGTAGTCATCGTCCTGGTCGGGAATGGGAGACGCTTGAGCCAGGGCAGGTACCCACTGAGGTGGCCGGCTGAATCGTCGCTGGCCACTTGGAGCAGGCTGCAGTTGACAAAGCATGTTGCATTGCAAAGTTTAGAGGTGGAGCGTGCGTATTAGGCCAAGCATTCAAGTTCGTATAATGGTAGATGAAATGTCGCCTTATCAGCAAGTGCACGTCACTGCCATCATACATCGCCCACCTTGTTGTTCCCGCCCTTTCAAAACCATTTTACTCATAGTACATGTTGAATAAAAAAGGTTTTAGTACGCGTCTCTTGTTGAGAATTTGAACCCTGGTATCCTGTGTCGGTTGGTCCGCACACTTCGTGGTCACCATGGCAGTATAGTTTATCAAAGGTAATGGTATTTCCGACCACTTCCCTGGAGATGGCCCAACAGATATAATGCCCTATGCGGGTGACTTGCTGACGAACTGGCTGGCACGATTACAATAATGGTGCACACAATAGTGGTATAGCACTAAAGCACTTACATGTCAAATAGGTGGTTTCAAATTATGGAGGCACAGGATTAGAATTCTCCGCGACACACACTATCTACAGCGAGGACAGAGTCGTATATGCTTTGTTGGAGTTTTATTTATTTATTTTTGTTTGGGTATTCTTGGAAAATGCTTATGAAGGGGGGACAAAAAAAGACTGTCTCCAGTCTTGGAGCAACTATTCAAATTGTTTTACTATACATGGGGCGGAAGTAACCTGTGATTCTTAAACTGCAGTAAAGCAATATAAAAAAAGGGAAATGAAGCAAATTGCAAAAAAAAGTTAAATCTGCGGTTGATGTATCGCTAATGCTCTTGTGTAGTTATAAACCGCGCACTTAATGCAGCTTACCGTAAGACTACAGGAATCGTAAGACCTTAGGAAGTGCGTAGCACAGGAGACCCAGTGATTACCATGACAATCGCATGCTTGCCTATAGAGTTAAAACGTTGGCATCAAGGCACCATATGCTCGTCGAGGCGGTGGCGCCGTCTGTTGCGTGGCCTAGTTATCGCCAAATGCTTCAGAAGAGTTTTCCGCAATTTGAAGTGAGTTGTTGCTATTACTTTTTCATTATTTCTGTAGTTTATATTATTCTTGACCTTGTTAGTTTATTTGGCACTGGTTTTAAGCATTGTTAGTCTGTGAGACTATGTTACATTGTGTTAGCGGAGGTTAAGGGAATGGCGTTACCGTGCAGCAAGCGTTCTTTGTGAACAGCTTCTTGTAGATTAACGGGATTGCGTTTACGTGGTTTACATGCCCCAGCTTATGGTTTCTCGATGCGCGCGCCCCCTTGGAAGGTGGAACCACTCTTTGAAAGGGTGAGGGCCGCCTTCCGATTGGCGGCCGCCATTCGGTTTCCCCCGTCTCGTCGCGGCTTTTTTCGGGCAAAATGCCTGGGTGTTCCGTGCCACAGTGCACAAACCACTCGCGAGCCGTGAAACGGCTACAGCATGTTCAGATTCCCTAAAGATCCGGAAAGGGTACTCTTGTGGCTTGTAAAGATCAAGCCCGAGAAGTGGCAACCCACTGACTGTTAATGTATGCGCAGCGAAATTTATGCCATTTCAGCATAAATAAAGCTGTGGCATCCGAAATTGTTGTATAATAAATGCAGTTTACTTGCTTATTGTTGTAAATCTGTGTGGTCGCTTTATAATAATGATATCAATGAACGCTTTAAAAAACTAATAATTCACCATATATTCCTATAAAAAACATGCTAAACCTGATTTGAAAGTCAATGCCTGCGTGCGAGCTGTGATTTAATGCCATAAAAGCTACACGTAGAACACCAAATAGGAGGATATGTTTTCAACAATTTTTTGCTAATCTGCTGTTTGCAGTAAGGTATAAGAGATTAAAACAACATACAATATACTGTGCATTACAGGGTGTGGTCTGCAAATCAGGTAGCCATTGAATAATACAAAAACAATATATGAAAATATGGTATGCAATCTGTTTTACAGGCGAAGCTTCTGAAGCCGTGGGTTCGTCCATGCACGTCTGTGACCGCTTCGTAACCTTCCAGTTGTATGACTCACTCAGCAAGTGGCGCTAGTGTGAGTGACAGACAGATGGACAGACAGACAGATGCACGGACGGACGGCAGCAAAAACAGACGGACGGACGTACGCTTAGTCCCACTCATCATGAATGATAATGAATGGAACGAAGCGTTCGTCCGTAGATATGCTGGACGGACGGACGTGTGAATGGACAGAAGCACGGATAAACGCTTCACCCCACACATCATCATTCCCTCCGTGGATAGCTTAGATTTCGCTATTTTCTCTTAATGGCACATATTTTTTATTTTTTGTTTCCCAGCCAGCTGGCACATGGCAAACTGTTTTTACACTTGTGGAGTGTACACAACACACAGGCACATTGAATGGTCATGTGACTTAGGTGCGGGTGTTTCACATCTTTAACCTATATAAATAGTTAGCGAATAGTCTAAAAAGACGCTAATTAAAGGTGTCAACGCGGCTTGCCTCGACGGTATTTTTCTGCTGCAAGTAACTCCAGCTGCTAATGTCACTTTAAAAATGAAGACTAGAGACTAGATACCTAAGACCTACACACTCCCCATAAAAAAGCTTTGTATTTCTCGCATGTTGTTTGAGTACCACATGTTTTGGCACAACAAACTCTGCATGCAGCTGCACAACACTCGTTAGCTGGCCGTTGTGGGTATAGGCGGCTTGCGGAGAGGGCAT